CGATAGTTACAGATCCAAGTATGCAATTTTAGCAAAATCAGAGTTTGCTGGCCCGGGTCCTTCAGATCTTCTAACTAGTTACGTACGTAGTACAGTATGCTTCCTCGTGACTTTTTCAACCACCCTGCCAAGCACAACTCCAGGTGAACCGTGGTTGCGCTGGCAAGCTCTCAGGACATCAGGGCCCCGGGACACCAGGACATCAGACATCAGACATCAGATATCAGATATCAGACTTCAGGACATCAGGCACTTGGGACATACAAAATGTCCAATGTCAATTTGGCCGTGAATCAACAGTTCCAATGCGCCAAGGTTTCTTGAGTAGCTAAGTCAACGCCTTCACTCACAGAGCTGCGTGGTACTTGCAACGCTGTGTCACTCCCCGGACTTCAACGAAACAGACCCTGTGGGGGCTCGTTTCCAGTCCTTGTTGTACTTGTCGATGAGCCAAAAGACCAAAACCTAAAATCTTTTGAAACGACATACACATATGTTCTGTTAGTCCATCCTCTACTAGGAAGGTCCTGCTCTGCCCATTTCCACATCTAGCTTTTTCTGCCACCGCCTCAGTACTGACCCGAACCCTGGCGCAGAAAGCTGATACAGCCTGTGTTGGGCTAGGCATGATCATCCGCAAGGTGCCGTCCGCTACCGAGTTGTTCCACCAATGGTGACTCGTCTGAAATGATGCAGCCATGCCTGGTCTGGTTAGGCCATCTGCACAAATCTATCTCCTGTCAGTGGACTGATGTCCAATGTCGCCGTCAGAAGCTGTGACCACCAGGTAGTTGGAGGTTGGGAAAGCCTCGCCACCGCTTCCGTGAGACGGCACAACATGGATGGCCTAGGCTGATGCGGAGGAGCCCTTCAGGATCCTAGTGCCATAAACCTTACCAACAATTGAATTTTCAGAAACAACAGTAGCTGCCGCAACCATTCAAAGAACTGTCATATATCTTAGCCGCACTAAAGCCTGGGGTACTGTTGAGTTGTTTTGGATCGGCATACATATTCGTTCCCATCCCCCATGCTGTGCTGTTCTCTTCACCTCTATCTATCTCTCTATTCCAGTATTAATTGCTTCCATACCATCACTCGTCCATCACGTCACCCACTGGTTGGGAATTTGCTTACTTCCTCCATCTAACTGTGAAGAGACCTCTCTCTGTCAAGTTCCTCCGCTGCTTTTTTTTATACTATCAATCGCACTACTTCCGTCAATATGACCGCAATAATGTCACAGTATCCACCCTTGACTCCAGGCTGCGATATGAACTACAGAAGCGTTTCCCCGCCATATGTGGCTGAGCGTAACGACTTTGGACTTCCAAAGCAGCGCAAACTCATTTCCACAGGAGGTGGCCGAGCTTGGACGGAGGAAGAGGTTAGCCAAGCAAACAAAGCTTACATGGTCTCAACAAACTGACGCGTCCAATAGGAAGCATATCTTCTGCGGACACGCAGGAATAAGATGCCATACAAGCATATCGCTGCGCAGTTGCGCAAGACAGAGCTTGCCTGCCGCCTTCACTATCATCAAATGTCTTATGGCAGTAACCGTCGCAAGCGTGGTGCGTCAATCTCCTCGCTCACCAGCTCTGCGTCGTATACGCCCGGTTCTTCCGTTCAGGAGCTCTCACCGGCGCACACCCCCTACAACATGACTCCTTTGACTTCACCATCAACCAGTCCCAAGTCCGCACCAAGCCAAATGTCAGAGACCCTCTCCTCGCCGCCATTATATCAGGGACCTCAATTACCACTCCTGCCGAAGCCTGTCCTGAGCGAAGGAAGGCCCGTTCTCCCAAGCCCATCGAAGTGGTCCAACAGCTTGCAACTGAATACCGAGATCAAGCTGCCATCGGCATCCGAACTCCTTCGCTCACCACCTATTGATCCGAGCCGTCTGAGAGATCTCTACGAAGCTCACCGAAAGAATTTCTGGGCACAGATCGCCAATCAGTACTCACCAAACTCGCAGATTTCTGCCACTGAGCTCGAAGGAGCTTTTCTGGCCCGGCATGGAGCTGATGGCACCCGAGTAGGACAGCCCCCTACCCCTGAGCCCAGTCCACAAAACAATGGGCATCCAACTTTCTGCGCTCCTATGCTGAACGCGATCGAGCCACATGCTTTCAGTGGTTTCAACCCCCTGTCTACGACAAGAGGACCTGGCAGCCCCCCACACTCGGCCAATAAATGCACAGTCAATGCTCTGCTCAACGGGCCAAGCCATCCAGGCCAATCGGAGTGATGTTTTACGACCTCCTGCGTGCGTGCCAAGTCGGATGCGTTACAATGACAGCGGCATACATTAACTCGACCTTTACACTCGCCTAATTACTCATCTTCTTACTAGCCTGTCCCGGCCTGTCTATAGATGTACGATACGATGATTCGAGGTTCGAGAGCAGTGGTGTATTTGTAGGAGAACAAGAAGACCAGACTTCTTTCAGCCATGTATGAATAGCTAGATGAGACAGAAGTGTCCTACAGAAGTGTCCTTCAAAAGTATTGATATCAAATACCATTTCCCTTGCACATTCACCCTCCCAGTGACTCCATCATTGCATGGCAGAAACTATTGTTGAGTCCAGCTAAGACAGTAGGGAGCAGGGGGTTGACCAACGAGTTACAACGAGTTACAACGAGTTATAAAAATAGGTACCACATGCTCCTACCATGTACTACGTAGTCATTAGTTGAGCTAAGTAGTGAACTAACCTACTACGGACAGCCAGGGGCACTTCTACGGTGCCAAGACGCTTCTAAGGCAGAGTCGGCTGTTTCATCTTCCTAGATCTAGGCTGGAAAATTCGGCATCATTACACTTTGCTCTGCTTGCTCTCTGCATCTCTTGTTTAGGATCAACCGTTGCAGTCAACATTCGGGAGCCCCTGCATGCATCAGATTGTCACTTTGCCAAAAGCATCTTCTTCACTGATGCAGCCTCGCTTCCGTACGGGGAGAGTTCAGCGCCCACGCACAGTACCTGATTTGGATTCACTTTGCCCGAGCATCGACTTCTCCTGATTGGTCGCTCAAAGATTGAATATCGGATGTTGAAATGGCCTGTTCTGAGACTACTTCTGTTGGTGAGATGGTCAACGCCTGATGTTGTCATAGCCCCCAGCAAATCTACCATGCCGGAAGGCGAAGATCGGAGCTTTGGTTTCCTTGTGCGAACGAGCTCGAAGATCGAAGAAAAGGGAAGTGAGCAACGTTCTCTGCTTATCTACTATGCAGCTCCAGGCTCTACTCCTTTTCCTAACGGACTGGGCACATGGTGGCACTTACGAGCCGTGCCCACATGTGTCCGGTACTCATGCCAGAATGCCAGATGTGACAGGCAGTTAAATGTCACAACTGTCAGAGATATGCTGGCGAACAACCGCGGCACGGTCGCTTCTATTGCCAGCATGTACCTCGTTGCAGGCCTCTGTTGCACAGTTTGACCCCGGATTCTTACGTCATCAACCCTTTTCCCTCTTCCGCATGAATTTCAGGGGATATGGGAGAGCTAGGTGACAGATAGCTCGCCGCTCTGTCCGGACACTTCATGCGTAGGTTCTCATCGCGAACCCATGCGAGAATTTTACTGTATGTGGGCAAGATAGCAATCACTGTTGCTTTACCTGCCTCACTTTCTACCGTGGATATATCACGTTATGCTCGTCAACATCGAAATCTGATACTCACAGCGCTACAGGTTGAGGCCCTTGCATGTCCCGAAGCCTTACATCTCAGCCATTTCGTTCTCTGGGCTCTATTGATTTGCTTTGTCGTCCTCTCCAAGACCACCGTCCAGCTCTCTCTCGATGCATTCATATTTAATTACATCTGCTGTCTCCAGAATTGAGCATGATTCCCTTATCAAGCATATCTAGAAAGCAATGCCAAAATATTCAGAGCCGTGTCTTTGCTGTCCTACTTCCAGCCCCTTTACTGCCATCACCAACCTCGTTCCAACAGCCCCATGTCACTCTGACCAACCACAGTTTGTCTGACACAAGCAACATTCAACGCCACCCACACCCACACCCTTTGCCTGTCTCGCTAAGAATACGCAACATGGAGCAATATTAATCCTTCTCATAATCACAGTTCTCTTCCTTCCACTAACTACCAACCAAAGGCGTTCCAACTGACCTCCGGTGGTTTTCAGTTCCACAAGGTAGGCTCCACTCTCACGCTTGCTAACCCGTGTCCAGTGGCTTCTCATCTGCGAACGAGTTCACAACGAAGTGTTCTGCCCACCTCTAGATTGTGCCGTCTTCTCAAAGTCGCCCGCTTAGAAGTTCCAAAAATCGACCCACACATCATCTCGTAAATTGTCATTCTACAACAACGGACACCCCTCACATCATCTCCTTAGCCCACAATCTTCGTCTCCAAAGGCCCTAGGACCCTAGAAGATTGATCTGGTCATACAGGGTCATACGTTGCTAAGTCTGAAGAACACAAATCTTACTTCCCCCACGCCTCCTATATTTTGTTCCTCCAGCAGTTCCTTTCTGATCAATCATATAGTCTGACGCACAACCGATCCCATAGAACTCGATTTCGAGGCTCCCCTATAGCTTCGGACCAAGGAAGGTGGCTCATAGGTATCACAACTGATGGACCCTGTCATTCACTTACTAACAATCGATGGTCAGTAACAACCTCGTTATTCTACTAAGAACATGTGCACACATCTGCGCCCCGTGCATGTATGATATCGTATCCAAACCTCCACTGCTTCTACCGACCTTTCAAAACACGATTCCGGCTCTCTTCCTTCCCTTTCACCCGCAACACCGTGCATTCTAACTTCCGAGGTCACTCTGGCGAACCACTGATGAACCTGCCTACAAGTCGGTAGCAGAAAGACGAAGAAGCTAGGATAACATCTCGCGCCCTGCTTAGAACAGCAAGATAAAGCCATTCTGCAGTACAGCCATCAGACCAATTGTTTCTTTCATCTGTGTATCTCCTTAGTAACTAGACAACTCATCTCTCCCCAAAGAACAAGACCAATTCCCCCCTCCCCCCACACCTTTCGACCAAAGTGCCAGCGCTAATAATAATCTCTTCGGATCTCTCTGAGAAGCTCAGCAGCAACAACAACAACAACAACAACAACAACAACAAAGGTTACATGCACTCGTCATCATCCATCTATCTCATCCCTAAGTAAAGAGACAGGAGCCCAGCTTAGCCACTGGGAGGAAGTGCACCAGCTAGAAGCCTTTGTGCCAGGGATGATGCCCTCCGATCAAGTAAGCTCTACCAATGACCTAAAAGTTCAGACGCGAATCTGGGGTCGGAGAGCCTCCATGGGCGCATAAGAAGCGAGTGATGTAGCGTGGCCACGGGGGCCTCCGGTCCCAGGGCTGGGGAGGTGAAGGGCCCTCTCTTTGCTCTCTCTTCTCCTCGTTCGTAGATGGCGTATGAGGTCCCCCCGTCGCTCTGATCTATCGTAATGAAAACAATAGCCCCAGTCCAGCCCAGTCCAATCCAGAGCAGGGTCAGGTGAAGCCGGGCTTTCTCTGGGCCCCATATCTCCTCTTCACTGCTTATCAATGTGTATGGGCACGGTCTACTCTCTCACTCACACACCACATATCATCGACATGGTCACAAACAAATGAACAAACAAACAAAGAAAAAAAAAGATGTGGAAATTGGAGAGTCAGGACTCGGGAAGGCAATGAAGATTTGTTCCCTTTGACGCCTCCCTATCCAGCAGAGAAATCCAGCATAGTACAGCTTCTTGCGTCTCAGACCCCCTACGCCCACCATCAGGGAAAACTTATCTCTGCCCCCTCCATCCCAATCATCAATGTACTTTTTTCTCGCATCGCAGCGAAGGGGGCCGGTAACTGAGGAGGCGACCAGATGGGGGGCCGTGAGGAACCTCAAACAGCCGGAATGCAGTTTTTCGATCCGTGATTTGGGAGGGGGAGATCGTGATAGAAGAGGCACTGCTGCCTCTTCTGAGCGGGTGTCAGAAAGCGAGACAGAAGTAGCAACTGTATTTTTGGCCCCCCACCCCCCTTCGTTCTTAAGCAGCCCCTTTTTCAACCTCCCCTCCCCTACTTCTGAGAGAAAATGGCCCGCAGCTGTACTTTAGCTCACGTTCCTTGCAAGCGAGAATGTATGAAGGTCGGTGTCATTTCTGTTGGTCTGTCGAATAGGTGAGGAATTGTGTAAAGGATTAGGGATGCAGGGAGGAAGAGATTTCCTGCACACGCAACAGGGCTATGTTAGAACCCAGCAGATTATTTTTGTTTTGGGATATGGTTTGGGAATGTGGACAGATAGCACTTCATGAGTGGGTGGAGTGCCTCTACCGAGAGGAGTGTAGGTAACATTGGTATTGGCCGTCTTCTTGGCCTTTGTTGTGACGGTCTCTCACCCATCTATGAGATGTGATGAGTAGATCATCTTTTTCAATCTGCCGAGATATCTGGTTAATACTTCATCATCAGGTGAGCATGATGAACAGTTTCGTGTCTTTGGTTTCTGGAGAGCTTTACGCACGAGATTTCCTGAACATCTTTCTTGTCGAGACAGATGACGTATGACCATAATGACGATAATCCTGTTGTGTGGAACCAGGCTGTCAAGTTGATGCGATGCGAAGACAAAGACATTTCTGTTAAAGAGAAGAACAAGGGGAGAGAAAGAATAGAGCAAAGAAGGGAAGAGGAGAGAAGGGAAAGGACTAATCGTTCTCAGTAGCAGATGGTTTGTTGTTGAAAACATGAAGAAAATCTTTGCTTCTTGCTCATGTGCTTATTCTCTGCATGGATAGCACTGTAGAAGTGGAAATATACAAAGTATTCAGCCCAAGGATAGCTAGGTCAGGTCTGTATGTATATGCCTGCATGATAGGATTCCCAGAGGGTAGGACCGACCCAATTACGGTGGAGTTTTTGAAATTTCTCATTATATTCACCACTGGTACGAAAGGATATTCATCTGCTGATGCGTGGTTGTTCTGTAGCGTACTGATCACCAGCTTGCACACAACTGGATAATTGAAATGAGGCTAAAGCCTGTATAGCCATCAATTAGTCTAATGAGATTCGTGTCTGCCTTGCTGGTTTTGAATAGGTTGTATCGTGTGTCTGACTTGACCTCGGTTTAGTTTCAGCCTTCTGCCCAACAGAGTCTCTGTCGGATGGAATGGAAACGGCTTTCGTTCTATCAATAGCCAAAGCCACCTGTTCGTCTTGAGGAAGGGTCCAGCAAATGATGACTCGCGTTAAGCTCGTTGGCGATGTCGCCTCAGAAAACCGAGAGAACAGGAGCGAGTCACAAAGCCTCAGTCCTTGGAAGTTGGATGAATACTTGAGTTAACATTGTTTGCGAATGCAGTGCCGGATGGCGAGGTCATGATGGGACATAACTTCCCCAAGAAGCCATAGCGTGGCATCGAGGGCAAGTTAGTACTTACACGAGTGATTTGCCCCCGACCACCTAGCCGAGTGGCCTGTCTATTAGCAAAAGGTGATGGGTTTGACACCTGTGCTGAGCATCTAGATTTCATCGGCCTGGTTTGATGGGTCGATCCCCGGGCCTAAAAGGAAAACGACAAGCATTTCAAGTTGTGTTGATGATTCAAGTTGTCTGGACCAGCACGAGAGAAAATATTTCATACAGGGCCAAGCCAGCGCTAGATCGTCATGCAGCACGGCAACAAGCGAAGGCAGAAAGCACAGGGCAGAACCGATGCTCAGAGCACATGCTTCTCTCTAACAAACTTCGGTCATGTGAAAATCCTCATCGGAGGCTCTTTGAGTAACAATACTCCGGACCTTTTGCGAACCTGCATGACTGAGTGCGCCGGATCAGGCAAGTTCGCCGTTATCGAATAGCGCTGCAGGAGGAGAAGCTAAAAATGTCTTTACTACGTAGTGATCACAGCCTACTCGAATACTTCTAAAGCCCTTGACTTGTCTGGAGCCATCTGCCGTGCGCAGGGGAGAAACATACGTAGTACTAGGAAGCGATCTCATTGCATGGAGCCATAAAATTAGGAATCGTGAGCTAGTCATCAGGCTACCCACTAGTAGTAGGGGTAGGATTGGTTCGTCATCGATCGGAGAATACCCATGGGCCGAGCTTCTTGAATGCATAAAGGTAATCTCTTGCAGGACTACCTTGCTCTCTGTATCAGCATGCAGTGACGATGGCTCTGCTCGATGATGTGAAAGCGTTGTGTGTACATACCGGGTTGTGCAGCAATATTGACGAACAGACATGATCCTGTACGACATTTCGCTTCTTTAACTGATACGCTGTAATGACCAAGTTTCGCTAACTAGTATCAACTAGGGTAGTCAGCCCATACCTTGCTGGCACGCTTTTGATAGGTTCAGCCCCTTCAGGCTTAGCCTTGGAAGCTACTGAGCAATTAGTCAGACCTTGGGGAAAACGTGGCCATGCCCATGTGTGTCCATCCGTAGGGCCCACCGGTGTCAGGAGAGCAGGCAAGAGATCAGCAAACACCAATGCCAACTCGTTAAAGAACGGGTACAGGGATGGACCCAGAAGTGGGTTCCTGTACTGATCAAAGAATCACCTGGTGCTTGTCCAACGGGTATGACGACGCTTCTGGCCTTTCCCAGCGCTCTAGCCAGTGGATAGGCGATATCGATGGGAGGATCGTCCTACAGGACCATGATCAGAAGGATTAAAAGGGTTAACGAAAGTGCAGGTTCTACTGGATGTGCTAGTCGCCTGCGGTCAAGGGGAAATGTATGTAAACGGATCCTAATGCAGCCAGGCTAGTACATATCGGGGTGCATGCATATGTATAAGCAGCGCAGCCGGAATGGATGGCTGATGAGTGATCACTCAATACGCCAGGCACCAAGGTTGCTCCTTGCATCGCAGCACGGGGTACTGAATTACTCTGTAGTTACCAGAATAAACGAAAAGCCTTGAGATCGTCAAGCCACCCCAGGAAGGCTAAACCAGGCGCCATGCAACATGGTAGTGGTTTACTCGTACCCATACCCATGCACATGCAACCCACCATTTTTAGAGGCGTGGGGTCCAGCGTCATTCATCACGACTGGACAATTTTCATGCACATCAAGATGCGATTCGTCGTCTCCATCAAGAGATCAATCCACGTATGTCATGGAAGTCCCCCATTTGGCATCTGCTATGACCGAATAAGCAAGTAATGTTATCCTGGCAATCTTCACGGGAATCGTACAACTTTTCTTAACACCCTCACGATCAGACATGCCCGGGAGCTAAACTGTCGAGAAAACGTCCAAATTTCTTTCTGCGCTTGGGCCTCTTCGAATTAACTACTAGTGTACAAGTATATGTCTTATAATACACTGCTGTGTAACCACAGCAAATCGATCGCGGTATTGTACAGCTCAGACAATGTGCACCTATTTGAAATCCCCTCGTCCAGCTGAGCGATTGGTCGCCTGATATTGCCGACCGCCCCAATTGATAATCATACATCGAATCGTACATTGCTGTTCCAAGCATTCTATGTGCCGTAAACTTCGTATCCACGTAAACTGATCTGTCGTCCGTGCTCTGCCCGAGCTCGGCTGAAGGCGTTGCAATTCTTCCGTCATTGCTCGAATTTGTGCTCATTTTTGGCCGGCACAGGACTTCGCTGCACAGGACTTCGGTTGATCACTGGAGTGGCAAAAGTGACGGGGCTCCTCGATATCATTGTAATGGAAGGTGTGGATTGGCTGTACTCGAATTCCGACCCTTGATCTTGTGGCATCCAATTATCAGTGGATGGAGCTGCTGAGGGCCCCAGCTGTAAGGCTCCCTGGTGGCCTGGGGTGGGAATGTTCGACGTCGCACTAGCGGTCTCGGGATGAAGCTCTTCCCATTTACGTTCGCAGTATTTTGCAGGCCATTTTTCCTGAGCGCCAAACTCGAGCATCTATTATGCTGTCAGTTATTGCATGGGAAGGAGGGAGCAGGCCCGCACGAACCTTTTGCGCAACAATTTCGAATTTCGACTTCTCCCAATAATCGTAAGCGGCTTCGAGCGCCGAAATGTCATCTTCCGTCCAGGTCCGTAGCCGCTCACGTAGGCGCTTATGTCGCATCTGCAGTGCTGGTACTTGATACGTGCGTCCCAGCCGAGTCTCAAACTCTCTAGCGATGTCCTTCCATGGCAGATTCTCCTCGTGTTTGAGTTTTAATAAAAGTTGATCTTCTTCTGAAAGCTCGGTTTGAGGACGATTGGCTCCAGAAAATTGCGAATTCTGGTTGCTATTCGAGCGGTGGCGTTGCGGCGATCTCCCCGTCTCAGACTGATCATCATTTCGTAGGCGTTTGCCGAGCCGCAAAGGCGCACTGGCAGGATGAGGGGCGATTGGGACAGGTTGTGATATGAGAGTAGGTGGCAAAGCAGACGTCTGAGGTGTTGGTGGCATAGATTGTGGTGCTGGAGCGGTGAATGATCGAACCCGAGACGTTGCGGATTGATCATACCATGCCGTCTTGTTCGACATGCCCAGACTGGGACTGGAAACACCGGACAGAGTAGCGCGAGAAGGGGGATTGGCCGTGGCATGGCTAATTCCCAGCCCTTCCATTGAGCCGCTGGTCACGGCTGTAAAGATGAGATCCTCAACGCCATGGCCAAAAGCAGGGCTCATTCGCGGCTGGAGGTACCCCGAGCCATGAGCCACGCTCGAAGTAGACGGTGGTAGAGTCAACGTAGGTGTGTGATCGAACGGGTTGCTGTAATGGGAAAACGGTGTCTTGTACTAAGGTTAGACCAAGTTCTCAAGGTTGCAATAAGCTCAGGATGTAGATCTGAATTGGCAAAGAACACAAAAACTGCAATTCAAAGCAGCAGACTTCGAACTTGGTCATAGACATCTGTTGATCTGAAGACTCGAAACACGCAAATACAAGCTAGGAGACGCTGTGCAGGAGAATGTCAACGTACCTGTTCAGGCCAGTCGTCTTCCAAGAAGTTGCTCATGTCCTTCAATCGACTTTGAAATAGTACATCCACCATTGGGCTAGAAGCGATACTCGACTTCATCAAGTGTTATGGAGAGGTTATATAGAGCGGAACAATGTCCGAAATGGCTGAGTCCGGCCGAAGGAGCCAAGACCTTAAGGCAAATTAGGCAGCATTAACGATGACCAAGGAAAGGAAACAAACTCCGAGATCGATGGTAAGAAGGAGAGTGGCACTCGAAATGCATAAACAAGATCAGTTGTTGAATTACTCAGGGTGGTTATGTATGCAAAGCTGCGAGGCCCAGGGACGGGATACAGTAGGATATAAAGCCTGCAGCTATATATTACCCTGACAGGCCGTTGAACTGATCCTTGGATGCGCGCCGCATAGGACTGAAGACTGTCCTGCGCTAGTAGGGCGTAATAACCTGAGTATTTCATTACGCCGCCCCCGGCCAAGTGATGGTCGATGATTGTCTCCAGGAATGGAACAGGCGGATTCGCTAGGTTGCGAAGTCTAAGTCTGGAAAACGGGCGAAGGACGTTTCAGGATTTCGACCGTGCCACCTGGCGAGGATCCTCTCAGCCCCATGGTGCATGGCACTAGATTGTGATGATATGGCTCTCCCTGCTATTAAGCGCCGCGGTATAGTTGTTAATCATGTCCAAGTGCCGTTCCTTAGACAAGTTCCCATCGACTTGATTGTGGGCTTGTAGCGGCGTGGACCGTGCTGGGTAAGGCTTTGCCATGGCCGCCCCCACTTTTCGAGCTGCCATATTAGGAACTGGCGCGTACCTGAGTGGCACAAGTGTCTTGGTTCCGTGCGACGCATGCTAGTTCTACAGCTTGTCACTCTTACGACGTGTATGAGAAAGCTGAATGATTTGCTGAATGTGTTGCAGCAGACGGGAGAACACGGATGAACGGGAAGCCCGATGCCAAGAACGACTTTGCGATTCTTGGGAGAATCCAGCGAGATGGCATCGGGTGGCGGGAGAAGATAGAACCGAATGATACTAATCCCAATCCCGAGGAGGTTGCCGTCAGCCTCGTCATAGAGGCTGACCACGACCGGAGGAGACGATTGGGCCCTGTCCTCTGCATGGGAGGATCGTCTCGCGCCTGTTTGAGCAGAGCAACAATCGTACTGTAATTGGAAGTGCAGGGCTGGTGGCCATGCCGTATTCAAATCTCACGTGGAATCAAATAGCATGATTAATAATAATTAAGCAAATTCCTGCATGCTAAGACACAGCACTACACTTCAAAGTTTAACAATTAAGTCCGAGGGCTCAAATGGGTTTGACAAGGTGCAACATGGCCTGGTAAGTTACAGCGACTAGCCAGGTGCTGACTCACCAGGTCTACTGGCTGTAACACCTTGTTAATTGAAGCACTCCTAGATTAAGACTTGAAATGTCAGATTTAGGCACCAGGAAGCTGAGCAGAAACCGAAGGCTGAGAGACGGAATACGGCCCAGGCACATGAGTAGTACTCGAGCAGCACCAGACAACTTGTAAGACACAGCCTGAATCCTCCTCGTACCGTGAGATCCCGTACTATCTAGATTGAAGAGGTTTGAAGCCGCGCTTTAGTCTTCGCTCTGAGTCAGTCCTGGTTCTGTGCAGCCACCTCCAGTACTAGTAGCTGTTCCAAACCATGGCTGCATCCCTACCCCCTTGATGCTGACACAAGAGGTCGCCGCATTGTAAAGCTGATGACTATGCAGACTGCATCGCACAAGACCGACACGTGGAAGGGGAATCCCGGTTAGCCCAGCCTCAGAAACCGCCCCTTGGCGGCATGCTTATCAATACTATTGTTGCACAATCGATTGACTTATTATTGCTTAGATCAAAGCATCCTGGCACCATGCTACCACTCTTTGTCGTCAACCTCCAAGCAGGCACGGGGTTTCAGAAAGTGTTGACTTGCTGTTCTGCCAATCACCGTCAAGGGAACGACCTAGCTGTCACAACTTGTCATAGTATGGTGATTATTACTGAAATCATTGCATCAATGTGAAACTGGGCGATATATCTGGCAACAGCAACACCGCTTCCTGTGACAAGAAGGTTAATGAAACACGCATTCTACACTACTATCTATGGTGAGGGAGGGGCAGGGCTGAGGTCTCTTGTGCCCACCTTTCGTCTTGCAAAAACTACTAAGTTAGTATTTACCTGTCATTAGTTTTCGTCTGCAGTTACGCCTCAAAGCGTGACCACTTTCAACCTCACAGCGCAAGCTAGTTAATCTCCAAATCACACTGCGATCTTCACCCTCTTCCAATGGCCTTTCTCCTGACGACTCCAATTTTAGCCATTGTGATTTCAAGCCATTGCATCGCCATGCAGTTGAAAGGCTCTGCAAGCATCACTAAATACCAGCTAATCTTTACTGCTGACATTGTGCCGCAATAAAAATCGCAGGCTGCGGCTACAATACCAACCATACAATGCCTTCTTCAGGATCCTAGATCCTTGCCGTGCCCCAATGGTCACTTCTTAATTCATGCTCTGGTTGAGTCTATGATTAAAGCATTGTTCACCAAACTTGCTGGTTAGATCTTAGACCACGTTTCCCTTATGCTTGATGAGCAGGATTGCCAATTGTTGAACAGATGGATCCGCATTCATACTCGTTCATCTGCCAATACAAAGCGCTTTTCAATGTCTGTTAGCTTGTTTGCGACAGTTTCGAAACGCCGTATCTTGCATTGGCATAAACTTCGTGCTCAATTTCTTCTGTCCGCTATCTATTCCATAGGACTCTTAGGATGTGACTATACGCTCCTTCAAGACCGTCCAGGATTACAGATGGTACAGGTTTGATGCTCCGACCGCGAGTCCAGATCAGCTTGGCTTTGGTCTGCGCCTTCAGCTTGTCTTTGACAACCTACACTTTAACTACTTGAGATGGGTGATGACGCTGTGAATTAGGCACCAACATACCGTGCCAAAATTAATGCCGCATCGATGAGATTACTATCTGTGCTAGACCTGAATCGACACATCCATCTAGCTACGCCGCAACAAGCCTATAGCTAGTTTGCCCGGTGTGAGGTAGACTAAGATAATCGAGGGAGTTCTGCCGATAGGCACATTTTCAAATCCACCTCACAGTACTTCGCGGCCGAAATAACAATACATGCAAACTCAATGCAGTGCATGCTTTCTAACTTCAAACTCTCTAGCTTTTCCAGTTCCGTCTCCCGTTACAATGCTCTGTCTCTGAGGAAGCTCAAGGCAAAAGAAGATCCGCACAGATCCGCGCCAACCACGCCGACCACGCCGGGCTGATTGGCAGTATGACGCCCTTTCTTCCATTTCTCTTTCGAAGTGCCACCTGGTTGGCACGGAAGGAGATTTTGTGTCAGACCTGAACAAAACTTTGAGATTCCCTAAGTGTGTACATGGCCGAGTGACGTTGCGGCATGGCTCTATCTCAATTTGCATCGATGTGAGATACTGCTAGGGAAGGCATACCACGACGCTCTTGCAGGTGATGTAATTCTTTCTGCTGGCGAGCTCAAGCAGAGCGGGATTTGGTCGCGTTAGTCAGTCGTATCAGAGGTATCAAGTCTCTATGAGTCTGGGACCTACAGCTGATACATTCAGTACACCAAGACTTTCATCATGTTCGACTTAACATTCGTCTTTTACCAACGAGCAGCGCTACCGCCTTGTTGTCCTCTCTACTTTTTCGAGTGAACAGCTGGTCCACTTACACGATCTTACACGCCACATCAGGTTGAATGACCCTTCGCAAAGTCTCTATTTGGCGCACTTGTTAAGAGGAAGATGGACCTTCTAGACGATCTTCTCAGTAGTCGACATTTGAGCAAGAGCTGTCAGGCATGCAACAGCTGGGTAGCAGGGACCAAAGCCAGTAATAGCACAAGGAGCTTTGAGAGGCCAACAAGCTCTCATCCGGCCATACAGAGGCTGTTTCAATGGAAGATTGCTCACTATTCATACTGGTACCACAAAGTGGTCCTCCATCCGCTCAGATAGGACAGATAGAATTGAAATACTTGAGCGACCTGAAATGCTGCTTTATGTAGAACTTCTTCTTTGGGGTGACCGAGGAGTAATACATGCTCAAGAAATGCAAATCTGCCAAAATATTCCTGCCCAGGACAAATCACCACAGCTGCGCTGTTGAAGTTTTATATCATTGAGGATAGGGCAGGCATTGATTGGTCACTGCTGGGCACGGACAGCTTTGCAGCATGCAGCTTGTTGAGCCACGCACACCACTTCAATTCATCGGAATCGGGACCGAGGCCACCTTTACCAAAACTACAGGATGAAAAGGCAATGAGCGGGTTCGACGCTACAGCGCTGTTGCTATCTGATCGTTAGGGAGACGCCATGAGCTCTCCATCCTAAGAAGACGAGCTCTACTACCAGCTCTGTCCTACATACTATCGCGTACCTGCACCACATCACCTTCTCCATCACCATGGCGCCCGACATGAATGCCTTCCGCCGCATGGCCGACCTCTGCCACACCGCTTCGAAATGTATCCTCATCTTTGCAATTCACTCAAACAGAAGCGCGGAAGGTATGGACTGATGGAAGCCCATCCACCACCTTTACCCACATCTGCCTACCCTCTGACACCCCCATTCCAGGAATCTCTCTCCTTACGCAAGCGCTCTACATCCTCGTCTTCCTAACCCGCTACCTCGACCTCTTTTGGGTTCCCCCCTCCTTCTCCTACTGGAATTTCGTCCTCAAAAACTTCTACATCTGGTCCAGTCTCTACATCATCCTCCTCATGCTCCGCATCTACCCTCGCACCCGCGAACGCGAAAAGGCGTGGAAGCTCGCCATCTACGCCCTCATCGGCAGCGTCGTCATCGCCCCTCCCTTCACAGTCATCTTCAAGAAATTTAGCGTGGTGGGCATGCTGTACACCTTCTCCGAGGCGCTGGAGAGCGTGTGTATCCTGCCACAGCTGTTACTGCTGAGGCAGACGACAGTCCCGACGGTGATTACGTCGTTTTATCTGGTGACGCTGGGGAGCTATCGCTTCTTCTACATCTTGAATTGGATCGTGAGGGCCGCGGGCCAGGAGCATTATTTCGATCCGATTAGTTTTACCTTTGGAGTGATACAGACTGCTCTATATATCGACTTCGCTTGGGTGTATTGGACGAGACAACGGGTGAAGCTGAGGGGCGGTGGTGTGGTGGATAGTGATGATTTAAGAAAGAGCTGGCTGGTCGGTGGGTTGTTGGGAAGGGGAAGATCGAGCGCTGATCTGGAACGGCCGAGTGGCGGAATCGATGATCACGAAGAAGAAGATGATATCGAGGCAGCAGCAAGGAGAGGTGGCAACATACCAAATGTAGACGGAAGTACAAAGAGACCAGCCCAGCCAAATCGATGGGGCAAGCGCGGCGTCAGTGTCAGTGCTGATGATACATTGGAGGAGCATGGACAAACACGCAGCAGTAGGCAACAACCAAACAAAAAGATACCAGCGCCAATATCAACCACAGCTGCCAATGAGGGCGGTACTCCACAGGAGAGGACAAGCATGCTGAGGCAGCCGGATGAGTTCCTTGACGACGACGACGATGTCATTGACAATGCCCAGCCCTTCTCCGTGGGAGACGGAGACGGAGACGCCGATGTGGTCACCCCTACAACATCTGCTGGGAGTGGTCAGCAAAAGACGGTGCTCAATAGCGGAGAGGCTTGGAGTGGAGCTGGTGACAGAAAAGCTGGGAGTGGGAGAGGGAAGTAGCGACAATGAAGCTGGATTGCAAAACGTTTTCGTGAGGCAGGCAAAACCACTCCAGAGTATTAGCATTACCTCTCATCCACTATCCGGAGAAGGAAGGGTAGGCTTGGAAAGTCATTCCGATCAAGGATATCGAGATGGGGGGCAGCAAAGGGTACGTATCTACCACGCATCGTATAGCATACGAAAGGAGGAGCGTTGAATCAGTCAAACGGACTGGCAATTCCACTGTGAACAGCAAGGAAACGAGCGAAAACGAATGGATCGGTTGTATGGACACTACTCCTCAAGTTATTATATTCTCGCTTTGCATTTTCTTGTCCTTTTTCCTCCTGCAGCTCCCTTCCCCATCTCCTAATCTTCAACCCAAGAATATGCTACAACTTTTCTTCTATGATGGCCCAGTTCCGCACCAATTCAGTCAATCAATCAATCAATCAATCAATCAATCATAGACACGTGAATGCATAACCGGAATTGACCATAAAACGTAATGCAAGAAAGCAAAAACGCCCCCATCCAAATGCGGTGCTATGCCAATAGCGATGATGCCCGGAATCGGGAATTGGGAAACGACATGACCTAGTAGTCATCCTCCCAGGTACCAGTACCCAAAGCCGCGAGGCCCCTTATCTCAATCTCAATCTGTGGTGCACCTGACCACTCTATGCCCACAGAAGAGAGTTATGACCATTTTCCGTTGAATTTTCCCCTTTCCTTGGTGTTTTGCTTTCTTCCCTTCCATATTTCTTCTCCATTTTCCCAAAAAAGTCACTTACCTTGATTATGGCGCTGGGAAAGCGACTCGTTTTTCCTTCCTCTGCCCGGCCTCCGTTGGACTGCCATCCGAAGATGATGATCCTTCTTCCTCGCTATGGCTCGTCGAGTCCACTTCAGCATCAGCAAGCGCTTTTTGCGCCCTTTGCCGCAACTCTTCTGCCTCGACCGCGGCTCTTTGAGCTCGGATCTGCTTCCGCCACATCGAAGCATACCTGCCACTCTTCTCGATGAGTTCCTGATGAGTACCTTCCTCCACTACTGACCCTTCAGAGAGGACGAGGATCTGATCTGCTTCAGTGATTGTGCTGAGACGGTGTGCAATGACAATGGTGGTGCGACCGGTCGAGATGGTCCCGAACGCCGCTTGGATTTTCTCTTCGGTTTCAGTGTCCAGAGCGGCTGTGGCTTCGTCCAGGAGGATTATTCTAGGATTCTTAAGAATTGTCCGGGCGATGGCAACGCGTTGACGCTCTCCGCCAGAGAGTCTGACTCCACGTTCTCCCACCTTAGTGTCATATCCATCGGGAAATGCCAGGATTCTGTCATGGATCGAGGCGGCCCTGCATGCGGCGTAGACCTGATCATCGGTCGCTGATTGATTTGCATATTTCAAATTGTACATGATCGACTCATTGAACATGTTGCAGTCCTGCGGCACCACGCCCACGAACTTGCGGAAAGAGTCGATGGTGAGTTCTTGTACGTCTTTGCCGTCAACGAGAATGCGTCCGGAACTTGGATTGTAGTAACGGAACAGCATGCGGAAGCAGGTAGTTTTGCCACCTCCTGATTCTCCAACAAGAGCAGTGGTCGTGCCGGGCTTGCAACGGAAGCTAAGATTGTTCAGCGCGGGTTTGCGCTGGTCATAAGCAAAGCTAACATTGTCAAAGATGACCTCGCCATAGCACTCTTTCAGTTCTTGGACATTGGGAGCGTCAACCACGGTTGGCTGCTCCTTGAATAACTCGAGCATGCGCTCGGCGTTGATCAGAGAGGTCTGAATAGCTCGGTAGAATGTGCCAAAGAAGTTGAGGGGAGCTTGAAGCTGGGCCATGTAAAAGAGCAGCATGGAAAATTTGCCGACGGACTGATAGCCTTGAGCTACACGATAAGCCTCAATGAAGCAGGCGACCATGAGACCAAGCATAAACACAAATCCCTGTGCTGTATTCATCAGTCCCAATGTCACTTCCAGCCAATAAGCAAACCTCTGCATGGTCAAGATCGAGGTGCGGTATCGATTGAACTCGTACTCTTCGGCATTGAAGTATTTGACGGTGTCCCAAGAGTGTAACGAGTCGTTCTTGACAGCCTCCACCTCTCGGTCAGCGTTCACGGTGTCCCTACGCAGAGCTACTCTCCACTGCGCAAGACGAATGGTGACGTAGATGTACAGGAACGTGACGATTGCAACCACCAGACCCACATAAACGTCGAACGTGATGGCAAGAAAGACAACTGCCACAATGAGATCGAAGATCATTGGCCCCACAGAGAAAGTGACGTAGGAGAGAAAGCTGTTGATAGAACTGCCTTTGTTCAATGCCGAGATAAGCTCGCCTGTTCGCTTGCCCGTGTGAAATTCTGCTGATAATCCATGAACGTGCTGAAAGGCAGCATTTGAAATTGCGCGATAGGAGTATTGTTCCACGGGGATCCAGAGTATTGATCGAGCAACGGCGAGCAGGCCTTGTCCTCCTTGCAGCCAGCGGCAGAGAATATACAATCCTATTAGAAGCCAAGGAGTTTTGACCTGCTTCTCTGGCCCACCAACCAGAGCATCGGTAATCTTTCCTACCAGGATCGGCACAAACACGTTGATGACGCGTTGGGCAATCATTATAGTAAAGCAGCTCAATGCAATCATTTGCAATTTTCTTGATTTGGCAGGCCACAGATACGGAGCGAGCACCATGTATCCTCTCAAGTATTGATACCAATTTACATTGGGCGTGTCCTTCGGTTTGGCCCAGGCATCGGTCCGCTCCTTGGGCTCCGACGCCGTCTTCCGATCAGCAGTGCCGTAAGCACGTCTGTCTGCATGACCTTTCGGATGACCATTTGCCTCGCCAACAAGCAATGGCGTCTCATCTTCCAGATCTTCCGGAGTTCCCGGTTGCGTCTTCGCACCATAGCGTCTAGATATACTGACGACGAGAAACAGGAGGGCCAGACTTAAGAAAAGAGCGACCCTTGCGAAATTGACAAGAACCTCAACTATCTCCCAAGGAGTAATGGTATTCCGTAATTTGCCTCCTTCCGGATCCCCAATCATAGGTTCATGATGTTGAACTGTGTCCACGGAAAGAGTTGCGCCAAGCATGATGAGTTCCAAAGGAAGAGAAACGAGCCAGGCTAGAAAATGAGCCACCGTAGGAGATGGTTTACTGTCAATTTGAGAAACCAATACAATGCCCCAGACAAAGAAGGATGCCGCAACATAGATCTGGAAAAGTGAGTCAACGATGTCAGGTAGTAGGGAAGCGAAAGAGCGCACTCACCACAGCTGCCTGTCCCGGCCACCATTTCTCGCGGAAATATATTATGGTCTGAAGAACGACAAGGATAGCATTGATGGCAAAAGTCATCAGGGCGAGTAGTCCAAGCCAGTTGAAGAGCAGCTTAACGTTGGGTGAGAAGTCGTGGACTTTGGCAGCTTCCTTGACCTGCTGCGAAGATTGCCTCCGTTTGGGTAATGGCCGGCCACCGGGGCCAGATTTTGCGTGTACTTCAACATCATCACTTGGCGGAGCAGTTAGAATGCCACGGGTAACGAAGGCGACGAGGAAGACAACAAGGACGAGAGGAGGAGCAGTGGTCTGGGCGAATTTCAAAACTTGCCGGGATGTTCCCAGCGACACCCGAAGGGCCGAAAGAGACATTATGGTAACAAGCTGGCCGTGAGAATAGCAAGTGACGAATGGTCGCGAAGGTTGTCGGACCTTGTTCTTGTATCGGAGCTGAAGGTCTACTTGTGGGGCAAAACATGTCAAGGTAAAAGTGCCGGACTACAAGCTGCGGGTAGATGCGAGAGCCCCGACTGTGTCCAGCTGACACCGAGCGAGTGTGGCGAAGAGTATGAAACAAGAAAAGGAGCAATATGCATTAGAAATGGTAGAGGATCAGCATCAGCCACCCGAGCGGAATGGAAGGTTTCTGTAAAGACAATGCTGCAAGGACAAAAGTCATCGGCCGTGGCTTCTCAAAGGCAGTGAATGATGCGGATGGGAGATGTGAAGGTCGAGGAAAGAACAGCGATTGTGGAGAGAAGAAAGGTGGCAAGGGCCGGTGATTAATAGTAGTCTTCAAGGTAGTGGATATGGAAACATTGAACCTTGGAACCATAGTCTTTTGTCCGGTGCATTTCTGCATTTCTGACTTTCTGCATTTCCGCATTTCTAGGTGTAGAATCCGCCGACCGCGTTGCAGGTACCTCGCTAATTACTGCTGCCAGCGTGTGCATCGTGCATGACGGGCTTGACAGCATCTCAATCTCAACACTCACCGACCCGAGTTGACATTGATCTAAGGACCAAAGAGCAGCCGAATCGAGCAGGCGAATCGAGCAGCAGAGCCTATCACGGCATCCTCTATCGACGCCATCCTGCTGCACTCCACCGACTGCCTGGGACAGCAGCGTGATCGCGGGTCAGAGCTTCCGCCCGACGCAGCCCCCATCACCTCTCCCGGGGATCGCGCATGGGTCAGCTTCCTGACGAACTTCTCATTCGGTCTCTGGGACCGTTTTCTGCCATACTAGTATAACCTCTCCCTCTTATTCATGACCACGTGTGCGCTCCCGGCATGGCGGGTAAGGAGCCGCTCATGAGGTGGAGGCTATCCCCGAGCTCCTCTGCTTGCTTCTGTGGGCTGGGCCATGGGTCAACCCCGGAGACGACCTTTAGCCAGCCAGAATCCACGCTGAAACATGCCTGATTCGGGGAGACTGAATCACTCTACTCCAGCACAAGTACTCCCTCCTCCCCCCCCACCTCTACCACCAAGTCGAGCCATCTCCCATCGTCCCGGAGTTCTACAACGTTTTATCGCTCCTCTTAGTCTCGGCCTAACCCAGCGCCTTCCCATCGGCCAAGGACATCAATCATCAGGCGCACGGACTCAAGATGAGCCGACACGGCTGCATACCTACACGTAAGGATACGAGAATCTGTATTGAGAAAGGCACGGACTGACGCTTCTATCAGACCCTTGCTTGTGCAAACTGTAGCCCACAAAACTGGCATACCTATCGCTGCGGTCGACATATCCCCCAACAAGACGCATGCCATTCTTGCCGGCAAGGAGATCCTGAAAACCGTTCGAGTTGCAGACCGAAAGATTACTGAAGATCTGAATCTCAGATCTGCTGTCATATCCTATGCCTCAGCCCATGGCTCTCACAATGGCACAGCCATCGCCTCGCAACGAAGAGACTTTCTATCCGCAACAGACGTAAAGTGGTCTCATGCTGAATACGACAGCATCATTGCTACGGCGGCAAACAATGGTCGTTTATCAATATACGATGTGAAGAGGCCGGAACAAGAGCTCCTATGGCTGCACGAGCACACGCGGCAGATTCATACGCTTGGGTTTAACCCTTTTCAAGGCGCTTTACTGCTATCAGGCAGTCATGATGGAACAGTCAAGTATTGGGACCTGCGAATGTCCAGCCGCGAAAAATCATCCCACACGCTGAAAAGTACAAAGCAGTTTTCGGGACGAGCCGAAGCAGTGCGTCACCTGAGATGGTCACCTATAGACGGGGTAGAATTCATCACATGCACCGATGGTGGGACAATCTTTAAATGGGACTCACGCAAGATGGACCGACCAGAGCTGAGGATCAATGGACACGAAAAGGCCTGCTACTCCGTCGATTGGCACCCTGATGGCCGTCATGTAGTGAGTGGCAGTGCAGATAAAAATGTTAAGGTTTGGGATTTCAAAAACCCGGACCGAAGACAAAAGCCATGCTTTCAATTCCGAGCTCCACAGGTTGTTATGAATATTCGTTGGAGGCCAGCCTCATGGTCGTCTGCGTTGCACAGCAAAGGTGACTGGCAAAGTACCCAGCTCGCTGTTGGCTATAATGCAGACGATCCTCGTGTTCATATTTGGGATCTGCGCCGCCCATTAATCCCTTTCCGCGAACTAGATAGATACAACAGCCCGGCTACGAGCTTGTTATGGTGCACCAAAGACCTACTCTGGACTGTTGGTAACGAAGGCATGTTCACGCAGACAGACGTACATTATTCGCCTCAGCCACCGGAGCAGATCAGTCCTTGCACAATGGACTGGCTGCCAACAGGCGAGTACGTTGTTTTTACGGAGAATCAAGGACGTCGCCGTTCGATTGAAAGCGATGATCCACCGGTCGGCTCTCGCAATACAGGTCGTGATGACTTCAGCAGCGGAGAACAGGTTATGACTAGCAGAAGCATGACGGATGACGAAGGAATTCACGAGCATCTTCTTGGACCGATGTACAAGCGTGCACAAGCGAACAGAGGCTCGGTTCAAGCTGCCAGATCACTGGGTAATACCCCACCGTCGAGAGATGACCCAAACACAGTAATGCCTCTGGACAAGACTATTTATGATGAGAATAACATGTTCCACAACGGACAGATTGGAGTCGTTGGCAAGACGACAGGGGCCGCCATAGATCTACCTACGTTTCAATATCTGGCTGAAAATTATGCAAGACCTGCCATAGAAGCAGAGAGAAAGCAAAACCCTGCAGAGATCTTGAAACGTCTGGAAGAGGCTTTCAAGACCAACGGTGACGTTTGCGATCAAGTTTCGATGCATAGACTCGCTCAGACATGGCGTATTCTTGGGGCTGTCATTGTGCCAGAACTTCAAGCCTGGGCAGACCGGAACCGCCGTGAACGGTTGAGTCAGACCCTCAAAGGCTCGAGTCGGGACGATGAGACCGACGGCCTTATACCTGGAATCCAGCTGCCACCTGGCAGCAGCAACGGAGCTGAACGGTTCGAAAGGCTGCTTGGAACAACTCAAGCAGTAAAGGGAGATCGGTTCAAAGAGATTGTTCGCAGCGAACGGGGAAAGCTGAACCATGAAGCTGAGAGCACGTCGAATATGGCAACTCCCCTAGCAAGACCAATGCCCGATTCGATTGTTCCTGGTCCTAGCAAATCACCGCGTGCCTTGAGCCTGGATGACCATTCAGACGCAATACCTCAATTGCCTCTTTCAGTCATAGCTGCCCATTCGACCGCAGCAGTTGCTTCGCGAGTGTTGAGAAGTGACGTTGACAAGAGTCTGGGCACTGTATCTACAGATGACGCTCTGAGTCCGGATCGACCAGGTGACGCGGCCTACGCTACTACGAAACTGCCTGAAGGCCATATATCGACGCAAGCAATTGGGCCACAGACTGTAAAGAGGTCGAAATCAGATTGGTTTTCAGCGGGAGAATTTAGGAGTGGCGATCACCATCGTCGAGAGCATAACAAGCGAGCAGCCCTGCTTGATTACAAAGCTCAGCCAAAGACGATCCTGCACTTTGATAGCCCATACGAGGAGACTGCTCAGAAAGGCCTAGCCATCACCAGTAATCGCCACAACTCAGCAGAGAGCCTTGAGATGTTTTCCGAATCCACCAGCGGCTCGCACAGAGCGAAGTCCCTCGTCTCGTCCGAGTCTACAGGGGCTAGCTACGAGAACAAGGCTTCCATCGCTTCCGACGACTGGGCCTATCACCACCGAGATAGCCTCGAACCACATTCATCACCTGAGGATGCCCAGAGACACAATTCAAGGATGAAAGAGCCAAGAGAGCAGCAGAGAAGTACCAGTCGGAATTCAGACAGATCAACCTCATCATTTCCAGACGCACCATTTGATTTCGAACAGCCACCTACGAAACACCAACCCCACGGTTGGGTGCGTGCTGTGAGTCGTTCCCCGCAGCCCCTGAATCACCAGCGCTTGACAGACAGAGAACCATCGCCATCGCCATCGCCATCGCCCACTGCAGACGAGCTCCAGTCGCCTCATTACGTCTATACCGATTTTCAACCCCTCGACCTTCAAGACTACTACATCAACGACCAGGCGAAGCCCTGGTCTGCGCTACCGCTCGTTTCACAAATGATTGCTTTTGACCTCGATCTTGGTGAAAACCATGCGCAATTCTCCACTCATCTGCTCATGCACATTCATCCGTTCTTCTTCCACCATAAATACCGGAAGAAGCAACCTCCTCCTGGCGCATTGGCGCTACCTCAAACAGTCGCCGATCGACTCCTTCATCCCCATCTCTCACATCGAATAATTGAATCAATTTTCCAACAGCATCATACACTCCTAAAGTCCCTCTCTCTCCACCTCCCCGCCGCTGAGCTCCGCAATCTCTGTGTCGAGTTTGATATCTCATCAGTTTACCGTAGCCGCATCAGGCCAGATGAGGATCCAGAGTCCTCCCTCAACGATGGCTATTCCCTCCAGATTACGTGCACAAACCCGAACTGCTCTGCCCCTCTCACTTTCGATTCCACCTCTTCATACATGATACCCTTATCATGCACCCGCTGCTACACTCCTCGACCTCCCTGTCCTATTTGCCTAAGCTTGCAACATCCATCACAACAACAAGCAACCCAGCTGTCTAGCAGACATGCTGAAACAGCAGGAACCGACACAGCCGGCCCTGCGCATCTCTGGACCTTCTGCCAATCCTGCGGCCACAGCGCCCACATGTCCTGCATGGAGACATGGCTCGGCCGAGCTACAAGCCAAGGCGAATGTCCCAGCGCCGGATGTGGACATGATTGCGCGCCGGGCGAGGTCAGAAGGAGAAGAGTTGCAGATCTTGCCGCCGCTGCGGTTGCTGCTGCTGCTGTTGTGGTGGTGGTTCAAGGCGACAAGCAAACCACGGGTGAGGCTAAGGGTCGGAATGATGGTGGTGGTGGTGACAAGAGGAATGGCGGATCGTCGATGAAGGATACGTGGAGAGCGCCGCAGAGTGCGGCGGTGGAGAGAACGAGGGGCCTGCTGAGGAGCTCGGTTGCTTCGACGGCTGTGGGGACGGGGAATGGTAGTGGGTCGGAAAGGGAGGTTGGGAGGGGTGGTGCTCCTGCTGCTGCTGGTGTAGGAGGAGGAGGTGGAGGAGGAGGATCGCCCATTGGGAGGAAAGTGGTTAGGTTAATGACACCGGGAGAGGAGATGTCCAGAGCTGTGGACGAGCCAATTCTTTCATGAGAGTACTTATGCTGGACCTCTCCACCGTGATCCGCGCATATTAGGTTTAGCTGAAGCACCTTAATCGATTTGCATGCAAATGCTTAAAGGCACTCCAACCCCCTCTCTCTGGTTTGCTCGGATAAGTTAGATCACGAGGTGATCTGTCAACGGTGGACAGTGCTATTTATCCACTGCGCGACGAGCATTTCCTCTTCAAGAGGTTAAGAAAAACGGGAATCGAAGAGTCAAACTTCAGAGCTCTGTAATTGTAGCTAGCTATGCTTTGCGAAAAAGCGATGATGATTCGTGTCCCATTCCCATGTTACCGGTGCCTGCCTGCTGTGCTCTGCTCGATGGGGGGTATCCTATGCAGCGCAATAAAAAGCAACAACAAAAAGCAAAAGCAAAAGCAAAAGCAAAAACCAAATACCAAGCTCGTTTCCCATGATCCATCCCAAACAAACCTTCGCTACGGAATTTGAATCACCGCAGATGCAGCGCCCCCATCAACGAAGACGTCTTCTTCACCGCTGAGGGGAGGACGTGCGCCAAACGATCCCTGGTCTCCTCTGCCTCGAAGGAGATGAGGATATCATCTCTTTCATCCCCCTCGGGTGTCTCTTCCACGCAGAGGAAACCCTTCTTCTCATCACCACCATCCTCCGGTGCTGGAGAAGGTGGACTGATCTTCACCTCCACGAGCTTGATGCTGTATTTGCCCTTGCTGTTTGAGCGTTCGAAGACATCGTTCCCATCCAGCCCGAATTGCATCGCTTGGCCTCCGTCTTCGAAGTACGTGAGCATTTGCCATCTCTGCTTGAGGCTGTCGTGCAAGAGCTGGATTCTCGTCACACCAAAGTCGGCCTTCTTGGTGCGGAGGCCGGTGCCGCGGGAGACGAGGAAGGAGGATGCGGTGCCGTCGAATAGCACTTCGGAGCCGGTTAGGCACTTTTGGAAGGTGTGCAAGTCGTGTGGGGTGGCGAAGGTGTATTTCCATGTCGTTGGGTGCGTGCGGGATTGGGACAAGATTTGCGTGGCGATAGCTGGGGCGGTAGGAGGTGCAGCGCGGAAGCGGAGGGCTATGCTTATATCTTGTTGCGCGTTTCGAAGGAGGTGGAGCATTGTTGGGTCGGTGGTGTTTAATGCCATGTAGACTTGCGATCGTCCTGTAGTGGTGGTTAGTGAGGGTTGACAGGCAGGAGAGTACCCGCAGAAGTGGACGTACCCTGTGAGAGCCTGTCGGCAAATACACCATGGGTGGAGAAGACACTGGTATTGATAGGGGCAGGATTTGCTGTGTTGGTGATATGATCCCGTCCCTGGTTTTGGCCCTTGTCGATCGTGATCTGAACATTTCTCCATGGTGCGGCACTGAAAAACATCCTAGCCTCACTTGAGGACGGTTCGATAGAAAATGAATGCAATGGTACGTTCTCAAAAGGAGGCTCTTGATTGGCAGAATGATTGAGGCTTGTGAGAAGTTCGTAGAACCCATTAAAATCTTTATTGCGTGGAAATTGAATGAGAAGTGATGCCCGCCGGTAGTCCATCAGTTCGACTAGTGGAGGATTGTTGTCGTGGGAAGAGTGTAAGAGGATCGGTTTGTCCCCGCCGATATGCACATCGAGAATCCCTAAATTGGCAGCATAAGGACTGAGGATTACACTCAGCCTGAAACCTCGATGGGCTTTACGAGTGGTTGATCTGTCTCTAAGCAGCTCGGTCTTCTCGAAGAGGAAGATCTCGCAGTCTCGTTGCTCGCCCACATACGGAAAACTGTTGATTTTCTCTGTAGATCTGCGCTCAAAGGTTTTCGCTGTAGCCTTGAAGACTAATATCTCGCGGAAGTTTGCATTTCCCTGGACATCAAGTACCGTCCCAGATAATGCTCTCTTGGCAAGATCGTAACAATCCTTCAGATGAAGGAAGTCGGCCTGCTGTAACTGGATCTGGAATTGAAATCCACCCGTAGAATTGAAGAAGACGCTAGCAAGTGTCTGCTGCCATTCTATGCGGTCACGATGGACAGGATCTGTTTCGAAAACGACGTTGACATCATGGTCCTGACTGGCCATGAATAGCACAAGCGCGTGCGACCCTCTTCGACGGGCAATTGTCAATATACATGGTACAACTGCCGTACGTTCTTGGTTCTGGAACCGGCCGGAAATATGACAGAACATGGATCTCATCCGGAACGTATTGGTAGTACTATTTAAAGGGATGACTTCTGCAAGATCGAAAGGCTCGACAGGCGTTACGGTGTGGTCCATCCGAATCCAGGGTGGATTCGCAGAGCGAAACCAATCAGCGGCTCCAGGTTCTAAGACCGCGTGTGTGAGCCAAATTGTCGAGTCGATCCCCGGAGACAAAGGTACATCTTCAGAAGATGGTGCCATGAAGCCGTTCCGACGAACCGCTGCCACAAGGCTCTCAAGTCGTTTCGACAGGTCTTGCCAGTATTGCAAAGTTCGCGAGAAGCGCGAAAGAGGGTCGGACTCTATCAGTCTACCTATGGCTTCTTGATTTGATAGATCCAGCGATTCTGCTTTAGCATAGTCCAAGAAAATGTCTTCGAGAATCCAGGCTGTCTTCGCAAGGTCCACGACGGCTTGCATGAGTCGTCTGCTCGTCGAAATCTGCATGATATTGACTCCTTCTTCCAAGTCTCTCCTCAATAGCTTGAAGTTCGTTTCGGCAGTCAGGAACCACCAAGCAGCAGCTCGCATCCATCTGGATAAAGAAGCATCCAAGCCGGGCCCCGTGTTTTCTGCTGATAGAACAAATAGCCCATAGTAGCGCCGGACACGTGACCTAAACTCAGCCAGAGCATCTTCTGTCGATTCAGGAGCTGATGGTTTAGGAACAGGCTTGCGTCTAGGTGATGTTCTTGAGGATGTTGCTCTGTGGCTGAGGCCTTGTGCTACTTCGAGTGACTGCTCGGTGCTTCCGTATGATGAGGATGAGGAGGGCCTTGACGGTGATGGAGAATGACCCTGAGGAGAGAGGAGATTAGCTAGGGCGCTGGGTGAATCCTCCCGTTGAGCTTGTGGCGCCACTGATGTAGCTGGGAGATATTCTCGAGAATTTCTAGGCGGTGTCGCATTCTGCCGATGAAGTATGGATTCAGGTGGAGAATCTCTGCGGGCGGAAGTTAAAGCTCGAGCCTCCTCTTCTAGCATTTTCTGTTTCAAACCTGTTGCTGAAGAGAGCCGTAGCCCGGGGTTAGATTGAGCTGTAGGTTGAGCTGTGTTTCTGCCTGTCACAGTACGCTCGAATCCCGCATCCTGCATGCTTTTGCTCGCAGCGATAGCGCTCTCTCCTGGTCTTGTTGCCTCTCCAAGGCCTGTAGGAGCTCGCACTAGGATCTGAGGCCGGAATTCCTGTCCTGGCGGATCGGTAAGAGTGCTACTTGCATGGATATTAGTTTCTGAGACGGTAGCTGCAGACGCTGCTTGGTTCTGAGGACGCCCATCGTGAGCGAAAGTATGCGCAGACACAGACTGCCTTGTCTGATGTATTGATAGCGTAGGGGCCTCAGCCTCATTACCACCCTCACCTATGATCTCAGGAGCATTCTTAGTAAAGCTCACTGTCAGTCCTTCTCGCCGCCTAGGCTTTGTTGGAACGTAGACCCCTGTGGCTTCCTGGTCATCAGTAGGCTGAGGGACTGCCTCTCCTGATGTGACATTTTGTGCCTCTGGCCAGCGAGGTGATGACGATACGTTAATTCTAGGAACCGGTTTTCTTGTTGGGGAGGGAAATCGTGGCAAGACATCACCTCCTTCTCCCGGAGACTTCAACAAAAAGTCGTTAAGAGCCTCATCGTGACCGATCTGCTTCGCCTTTGGTTTATCTGGTTTATCTACCTTCTTCAATAGTCGATCACGGATGCGTTCTCGTCTAGACGGTTTGCGGCCTCCACCGACAAAGTCTGCCTCCTCGCCCTCCTCTGTCATTATGCAATGGATAAGGCATTGAGAAGGGAGGTGTTACACTGGAAGTTGAAACCTATCCCAGGCAGCACGAACACCGCGCTTGGGGCGGCTGCAGAGAAATGAAACTGACAAGGAATCTGGTGTGCGGTGTTTGGGGTGCCCTTGCTTGCCATGACACCTAAGGAATGCCTAATCGGGCCCAAGGAATGTGGCTCCGGGCCCTGGCGGCAAATCTTTCCCCGCAGCTTGGGGGCCAAAATTATCCCCTTCCCCACAAAGCATTGGTCCTCTGATGCAAAAGTTCACTCAGGTATGTTGTACAGATGCTGATCTGCCAGGTGTGCTAAGAGTTCTGTTGGTTAATGATGTGGACAGCTTGAAGGAATTCTCGTACCTAGTCCACAGAAGGACTCCAGGTTGCAGGTGGATTGCTCTGTGCAAGAACTCTAGGGCAGATGACATTCCCAAATCAATCACGGAATAGCGTTCTTTCTGCCATGACGTAGAATTCACATTCGTTCATGGACCTTTCTCTGTCTCTTGAAGAGCGCATACGGCGGCTGCTACTCTACCTCGTTGAAGATCCGCAAAGTATGGACTTTGGCACCACCGGGTCGGGAGGAGTTGAGCTTCTATCAGCCCACCAGCCCACCAAAAGTGTACACTACATGTTCAGCGTCGTGCCAAAATTATGCAACAAAGCCGGCTTTCTGCATGGCGGTGCTGCATCAACCCTGTTAGATACTCTCACATCCACAGCCCTGCTCACTATCGCAAAGGCAGGATACTGGGAGATGCTGGGGGTTAGCCGAACGTTAACGGTCACGTTCTTGAGACCTCTTCCGCTAGGTACGAAAGTCTTCGTTGACTGTGAAGTGGTCGCTGTGGGAAAGAGCATGGCGAACCTCAAAGGCACAATGAAGAATGCAGATGGGAAGGTATGTATCACCTGTATTCATGACAAAGCAACTTTAGCGGGACCAAAGCTATGAGCTCAAGGACAACCTCTTCGTCCAAACACCAAGACTTGCAGCGTGGACCTGCTTGCTGGGGCAGTGACAGGCATCGCAAATCCTCCCTTGGAACCAAACATATTGGGATAGAATCTTCACTACCCAAGAAGCCTTTGATGTACGGTTATGACGACATCCGAGAGGGACATGACACTTACAAAGGAAGCTCAGCAAGATCTTCCAGCTGAGATACACTGCCAGCAGTGTCTGTGGCATCGCATGGTTTATCATTCATCAATATAATGGTTCATTTCGGTGCTTACCAACTGAGATTGCGTTTGACAGGCCAGACCAGACAACAGCTCCAACGTGGGTATGGCTGTTTCAATAACGAGGTTGCGAAGTGGGTTTCATGGTCTTCGATTGAGGTTTTAGAGATAACGGAGCAATCAAGATACAGCTACAGTGATATATGACAATGAACCCAGAAATGATTTCTCAGAAAACTACGACAGGTGTAGGTGCGATACACAGCAGACACCCGGGACCCAAATCTTACATTTAGACAAGAGATCTGGTCTATACTAGTTAGATTTGTCAGGAAGATCCGCATATGAACTGATTAACTATATGCACCAGAAGCAATAGAGAGCAGGGTGCTGTTCGAAAGCGGGATTTCCCTCCTTACACTTATGCAATTGTGTTTTCCCTGGACCACCTCAAACATAATCAATCCATGTATTCAGTCTTCTTCCTGCTGAGACTTCTGCTGGTAAGGCATCAGGCCACATGCCGGAAACCTGGGTGCACAAGACTCTCTCGAGGGAAGACCCCAGAGGATGCAATGCTTCCCTCTAGGTTGATCTTCAGAATGAAGAGCAGCTAAAAAGTAGATACCCGCATGAGCCGGAAGCTCATCAGCATACTGACCTATCAAGCAGGTGCAAGTAGGTAAACGCAGCAAGATGGATATAAACATAGAAAGCACAGCATCCACAAGCTGTCTCAGGAATATCCATCAAGAGGAGCAGCAGACGCCTCATCTGTGAAAGCTATCTGATGGTTTTTTTTAAAAAGGAAAACGAAGACTGCACTGTAAAACATGACCTCTCCCTGTTGAGGAGCAGAGTTGGACTTATCATCACACCTTTTAATGGTACCTGTCTGCAAGCAAGCTCATTAATCTGGGTCAATAGATAGGTGGTAAATTGTGACTCTGCCAGCATGGTTTACCACTGTTTACCGCTGTTTACCACTGTTTACAACTAATGTCCGAGGTAGATATGCAATGTGGTGTCAGATTCAGACACACACCGGAGATGCAACTTCCAGTTGGACCCCCGGACCCCAGCCTACGCCAAGACAAGCTAGCTCTAGTCAGTCATGCAGTACATTCTTGTTCTTGTTCTCTGGCGGGCCAGTCCTCGAATTCACTTGTGCATATGGAGTATGCCCTCTAAATGCCAGCTCCCTACCCTCGAAGTCATCCGTTGCTACATTGTTCTCTATTTCTGACTTGGTTCACACTAAGACTAATCATCCACTTTCAGCAAGTTTCCCAACAGAATGGGCAAGAAGAAGCGTGGTCATCCCGATGTCGAGGAGATTCTCAGCAGGCCATGGTGCTACTACTGCGAGCGCGATTTCGATGACCAGAAAGTGCTTATCAATCATCAAAAGGCGAAGCACTTCAAGTGCGAAAGATGTGGCAGAAGGTTGAATACCGCGGGTGGTCAGTGGCACATGTACAGATGTCGGCATTCTCAGCTGACTCGTCACAGGTCTTTCGGTACACATGAGCCAAGTGCATAAGGAGACCCTTTCTGCTGTCGACAACGCCTTACCAAATCGTGCAGGTCTTGATATAGAGATCTTTGGTATGGAGGGGATCCCAGAGGACATCATACAACAACACAATCAGCGCGTTCTGACGCAGTATCATCAAGCTGAGGCAGAACGTAGGGTAGCAAGTGGCAGTGCTGGAGGTGCTGGTGGAGCTGCCGCAGGAAGTCAACCGAAAAAGCCTAAATTCGAGTCGCCTGCCGACCTGAAAAGGCGCCTTGCAGAGCACAAAGCTAAGCTAGCAGCAGAGCAACAAAATGGAGGAAGTAGTGGCGGCGCCAGCAGCGGTAGGTCGAGTCCAACAACTTCTCTACCATCTTTACTTATTCAAGCAGCAGGTTGCATCTCCGCAATATCCGCCGCCGCAGCACTTCAATGGAGTCCCTGGGAACGCCTCTTTCAACTTTCCCGGAGGTTATAGTCAGCCTCTTCAACAGGGCCCTCCATTCCAGCCGCCGGGTGGTGCTTTTGTTCAGCAGCCACCATTCTCCCCGCCGCCTTTTCAAAATCAAGCCCCGTATCCAAATCCGCAATATCCGCCGCAAATGACGCAGACAAGCCCGCAACCATTCCAAGGACCGTCTCTAGGCGGACCTCATGTGGGCCCTCCTCGTCCATTTGGAGCGGGATCCCCCGTTCAGCAGTTTGGCTTCCAACAACAACAGCCACCTCGGATTCATACCCCACCGCAAAGCAGCGCACCTCCGCAACGATCACTATCGGGCAGTCTCCCGCCAGCTCCTGGCCTTCCACAGCGGCCAGCGTTTGGTGCGCCACATGTCAATCATTTTCAAATGCAGCAAATGCATCAAGGTCAGATTCCTGGTCCTCCCAATCAGCCGGTGAATCAAGCCGCTCCTGCAGCAACATTGCAACCGAACAGCCTCCCACAACCGCCAGCTGTACAATCGCAAATCACGCAGCAGTTGCGGAGCAACGAAACATCTTTAGACGATCTCATCCTGGGAGCTTCGAAGCAGGCGGAAGAGGCAGTAACGGCGCAAGCAGCAGCTGAAACTCCCAAGGCCGTTGACCAGCCTTCTAAGAAGCCTCCGGAAACCCCTGCTGGTGAGCCTGCGGAAGAAAAGAAGGACAAAAAGGAGAAATCAAAGGCCGCCCATCTTGTATATTCTGACCAAGAAACCAGTCCAGAGGAGAAGATGGCAAGAATGCCCAGGTACGCTTTCACTCCAGAAAAAGCAAGGTAGATGGGTCGGGCATTTGCTACTGCTACAGGCGTTGTGATGATTCACCGGAACAACGAAGTTTTATCGGCCATCACTGGTGGGTTCCTATCACACCCTGATCATCATCAAAAGCTGTGCCATCGGAAGCGTGAAGGGCATGCTTTTCAGCTAAGTCTATTGAATCTCCCAACACACTTACCGCTTTTCCCTGGCCGACCGTTTACAGCTCCCTTTAGTCAGATGAATAATCGAAGCGTCTGCTGTGGCAGCTTGAATCATGTCTGTTATGGGTGAGTCAGCAACGAGGGTGCGGCAGAAATTACTGATCAATCAGTATGAGGATGATGTTGGTATTGCTCGAAGGATCTATCGATCGTCTTCGAGAGTTCAAAAGGCAGCATAGATACTGCACAGCCGAGCGGCTTGCTAGTAAGTGCAAAAGCGGTTGGTGATCTCTTTCCGGTACATTCACAATACAAGCATTCCTGATTCGTCGTACTGCGCTCTTCCACACGTGACAGGTGCTTGCTTTCCGTTTGTTTACTAGTACCGGCAGAAGCTGAAGACGGCTCTGCATTTTGAGCTCGTCCGTGCTCACTCGCCGAGTTCTTACCAGATGGGCGATAGCATTACAGACGTCCATCATGTGGCTATGTCAGCTTGAATGTATGTGTGTATTGAGCCTAACGCTCGGACGCCAGAGATTTCTCATGTTGAATAGGCGCTGACGGCCATTCTGCCCCTTGGTTCACCTCCCACTTCAGGTCCTGGCTCTTTGCAGCCCGAGGTTCCAAGAAGCTTCTCCAGTAGTCATGGCCATCAAATTCTGACATCAACCACGAATGGCTGCATTAGCATCTGGCCTTGCAAAATGAGGTGCTTGAATGCGCTACTGCGCTATTGTACCGTCGTGTCAGCTTCAGCCTATAACATGATCAATATGTCATGGATTGGTTCGAGTCGTCCCATGAGCGTGCATTTGCAAACACAGCCGCAGTCTTACGCTACAACAGCTTGGGTGATTTCGGTCAATGGGTCTATGGCTGCGAAGTTGGTCATTCGGTGGGTGAAGTGAATCAAGGGCAGCCAGCTGGGTAGTTGTCGTACACATCGAGGAGACCTGGCTGGACCTTGAACCTCCTGCAGCAGCATACTTGGTCCGACATATGGAAAGAAGCTACATTTGTAGATTGCAAGAACGACTGGGCTATTCTTCCTTGGTTCCTAAAGCGCCAGGACCCCAGCATGCGTTAAATTGACTGGATTCTGATATTGCCATTGGTTGAATGCTGCAGCGTAAAGAGTTGACTTGCACCCTGTAGGGAGACCCTGTATGGAGACCTGTAGGGAGTATAAGGGGTTCACACTAAGTTAGTTAACTTAGTTCGTTAATTCGGCCCCAAGTCCCCTTGAAGCCTATTTTAGACCTCCGGACTGTGGAGCTTGTCGCTTGGTTCCACCCAATTTCCCGAGCTTCAATCTTGGATCCTGCTCTCCTTCTCTCCTTAATTTCTCCGACTCATTGGACAAGTCCCAATACCAGGCCGTCCGTCCTCGGGTCCTCGTGTCCTCGTATCCTCGTATCCATCTTGCCCTGACGCCCCCAAGATGGCGCTTGTGCAGGAACCAGCTCACCTCTCAGCCATACGGAGGAGTTACCTTGCACTCAAGGAAAGGGACCATCTGAACTCTGAACAAGCCTTCTCTACACCTCCCGCTCAGCCCTGACATAACTATGGGAAATGAGATGTAGATAGGACGCCGCTTTGCAAACGTGCTAAGTTAGGTCATTAAACGCCAGATGGCGCTCAGCTGCCCTGCCTGGTCTATTTTCCTTTTCTTCAAATTGTGCTTCTTTTCTTCTCTGTTCCCTCCTTCAAACTCAGCTCCAGGCCTCCTACTTCAGCTTCCTCAAGCCCAGTCGCTCTTTTGTAGTCTTCGCACCCACTGTTGTCGCTCCTTTACAACCAGTCGCTCTTTTACATTTAATACTTGCTTGTACTCCCGTACCCATTTCAGTCCCCAGACAATACCAAATAATGCAGCTCACACTCGCCACCTGCTTCACCGCTCTCGCGGCGTTGGCCTCTGCCTATACTCCCGCCAACACCGCTCTACCACCCAGCGGCAATTCTATCGGCCATCCTGAGCTGGGCGAGCTCATCCCGGCCGGCCAGACGTACACCATCACCTGGTCTCCCGACAACGGAGGTAAAAATAACCCCTGACATCTATCTCCCCTCCCCCAAACCCACCCAGGAGACTTACTTCGATGAATTCTTTCCAGACCGAGTGACGCTCCTCCTCCTCCGCGGCCCCTCCACAAACGTGGTCCCCATCCTCACCATCGCCGAAAACATCCCCAACACCGGCTCCTACATCTGGGCTTCCGTCCCCTCCACCCTCGAACCAGACGTAACCGGCTACGGCATCCAGCTCATCGTCGAAGGAACCGGCGCATACCAATACTCGCCGCAATGCGGAGTCAAGAACGACGCCTACACCGGTGCTTCTACCAGCCTTACTAGCTCCTCAATCGTGACGCTCGTCTCCGCCAGCACCACCAGCGCCTCTTCGTCCCTGAGCTCCGGGTCGAGCAGCAGCGGCGCCGTCACCGCGTCCCTAACCAGCAGCGCACCCTAAGAAGCCTCCGGAAACCCCTGCTGGTGAGCCTGCGGAAGAAAAGAAGGACAAAAAGGAGAAATCAAAGGCCGCCCATCTTGTATATTCTCGGTTGCCAACTCGGTCACGCGTTCCGCAAGCACGACGCGGTCGGTGCCGACTGCCGTGTCGACCGGTGCAGCGGCAAGGAATCTGGCGGTGCCTGCTGCGGCGGTCCTGGTCGCCGGGTTGGCTGGCGTGTTGGCCTTTTAAGAAGAAGTAGTTCGAGTCTCGTGTTGTGTGGGAGAGAGAGTACGAAGTAATGCCTGCTAAT